AAAATTAATGTATATTGGTTATCTGATTATAACTTTTTAGCTTTTTGTGGACTACTCATACAGCAATATCTCTGCACTTGAGTTTGTTTTACACAATAGGTTCCGGTCCATCCCGTCAACGTTCCCAGAAATACAGCCCAGAATGTGTCTCCTCTATACAGACTAAACTCAGAGCTATAATATAGGGATGAAAACAATTTTTTAAGTTGCATCAATATAATTACATAGTTATTGTCTAACAAACTTAAATAAAACGAGTCGATTGTTATCATATGCAATCTTCCACGGTTTTATAAGACCTCCCATTTCTATTGAGCCCACAATCGCCACCATAAGTAGTCCACTGAACATAAGAATGGTTTGCATCACATCCGTCCAAATTACCTGTTAATTACAAAATGTTAAAACATTTCATTACAGTTATCGCTACCAAAGACCTCAAAGTATTTACCGCTTTTATGCCGCCCTAAGTTTTATAAACAAAAACTTATAGTTATAGATTTTTAATTAAATTGTTCACAATGTATCTCACAATTGATGTATAGAAAGTGCATATGGCACCAACCACAATTATGGAACCGGTCACTGACAACGGGGTCACTTTAAAAATATATTTTATCAGTTTATTTGATACTATTGATAACAATTTGTATACCGGAAGCCAATGCTAGGGAAGGTCCGTACAGAACAACTCCGAGATATGGTAACTATTTGTGTAAACATTTGTCAATTTATTAGATATCTTATCTAAACATTAATTAAGCTTCAATTATACAAGCACCATATAAATTAAACATTAATTCATTTATAAAGATTATATTTTTTAATAATTTACTTGTACGGTGCTTAATACTAATAAATTAGTTAAGAATAAATTCTTTAATTAACTAAAATAATATATAGTTATTACCATCAAAACGCGGTAGGGCCACTTTAGTGCCACTTTTATGCTATTATTTATACTCATCTTTACCATTATAAACAATGATTCATATATATAGTAACATTAATATACGATCGGGGTCTTATTTATAA